GTCCCCAAGAGCCAAAGTGACTTGAAATTGCAGTAAGATTCTGGTGTGTGTGCTGGATAGGGCTGGCAGGTCCCGCTCTACCTTCAGGACAGACAAGTCTGCAGTTTGCTACAAAACCAGGGCTGCTGAGGTGCTCGGGCACATTTGCCTTAGGGGCTTATTTCAAGCTGAGGTGTGTTCAGTGTGACGTCTTGCAGCTGCTGCTCTGTTCAGCTGGACAGGACTGGTGGTGTTTCCTGTTCTGGCCCCAGGTGATGGGTCTCCACCAAGGCAGGATGTGCAAACAATCCCCGAAAGCAGGAGGGTCAGTGATATTTGAAGAGGAAAAAAAGAGAGGAGGAGAAGCAGCTGGGCTTCGTTTTGCAGCTGGGCACTGGAATCCCTTGCTGTGTGTTTAGGCAGAACAGCCAACGTTGGGGTTTGTGCTCGCTTCGGCGCTCGCCTTCGTGCCAAGTTCCCCTTCCTAACGCGCGGCTCCCCGAAGGCCCCCGGCTCTGACGTGGCCCCGGTGCCACGAGCCGCTTGCCGCAAGCGGAGGAGCCCAGAAGTTCTGCATTAGCCCAGGCTGGCAGCCCGGATGGCCCAGGCGAGGTTACATCCCCGTAATAACTTCTGTGGTGCGGGGATGAAGTGTCCTGAACGCGAGCCAGACAGCTCATCTCGCACGTCTGCAGGGACTTTCCTCGCCAAAATACCCCTGGCTGGCCAAGTGCGGAGGATATTTCTGTCAAGTAATTGGCAGAGGAGGAGGGCGATGACCACAGTGGATCTGTGCGGGGTGTTTGCTGGGGCTTTGCTTTCCTTTGTAAGCAGTGGCTTGTTTTCCTGGGAAATTCTTGGGGATCTCTCCTGCTAGGAAGCATCTGTAGGTGTTGCTGTGGTTATCCTGGCAATCCCCTGGGATAGCACGGAATCAGCTGAGTTTCTCCTCTGCTCATCTGCCACTTTCTCTATGTGTTTCTGTGTCCGAGCCCTTGGAAGCGAGGCAGGAAGAGAGAAGTGATGTGCTGGTGTTAGGAAACGTGCCCTGGCTTTGTTGTGGTTTTTCAATGTGACTCTCGAGGAGGTAGTTTTGGTAAAGTGCAAAATTTGAGTGTGCTCAAAAATTAACTGCAGAAAATGATGTCAAGTTGGAATAAAATCTTAGCAAGAAAGATTTGTCAAGCTCATGCTTTCAGTGCAGGGAAAAAAGGACTGCAAAGTGAGCTTTTCATAGTATGTGTAAATATTTTGTGGGCAGAAGATGCCACAAATCTGGGATAACCATGAAGGAGAAAAAGAAGGAGAAATGAGAGAGTGGAAGTTAGTGAGATGCCAAAAGCAGTTTGCTTGCACGTTTTGAACAGCATTAACCACCAGAACAGCCTGCAAGCAGACACGGTTCCTCCTCCTAAAGACAGGCAGGGTGCACTGCTTCTCTGTGCCTTTGAGCTCTGGTAACGAGCACCAAGGGCTCCTTGTGCCCAAGGGCATCCAAGCTGTGCCCTGGAATGGCACCTTTGCCCTGGGTCGTGGTGTTGCGGTGCCGCTTGGAGGCTCAGGTCAGGGTCCAGCGGCGCTCCTGTCCTGCGGGTCACTGGGCTCCCGGCTGGCCTGGCTGCCAATGCCCGTGGGACACGGTCCCCTCGGCCGCCCGCGAGCCACTGTGGCCACAGACCCCCTGCACGAACGTCCCCCCTCGCGTTCCTGTGCCCTTTAACGCGGCGTTTTCCACAGTCCCGGAGGAGAGCCAAGTTATGAGGTTGGTGTTGAATGGAGGTGTGTAGGTGGCTGTTACTCCGTGTTCAGAAATGATGGGGAATGCTTTACATAACACTGCTATGCACTGTACTTCAATGTGTTAGACGTGTGCATTTAATAACTGAATGTTACTGGGTGCTTTTGTCATCTTGTGCGGCAGAGACAAGCCTTGACCCCCTCCTCTGGGAGCTTGCTCTGTTTGGGATGTCTCACGTGTCACGAGGTGCGTCTCAACGCTGTGTCTCTGATCCAGCATTCATGAAGCAAACCTCGTGATTTCGGTGTCATGCGATATCCCTTGTCTAGTGATCGTGCCCCTTAACGACCCCAGCTGGGGTCTCCTGCTGCCCCGTGTCGGGGTTGGTGGGCGCAGCGGCGGCCGCGCGCGGGCCGGTCCTGCCCGGGCTGCCGCCTGGGTGTAGCCTCCCAGCGCGTTCAGGAACGTGTTATTCCACAGGTGTCCTAATTGCTTCAAGTGCTTGGTATGCCGTAATGCACGTGGCAACAGCTAATGCTTCATAAAGAGCCCAGCTGAATGGAAATAAAAAATTGAGGAATATGGATGAGAGGAGGAAGGTCGGGAGATTTGTCTGGGGAGAAGCGTGTTGGCGTGGATGTTGGGAAGGGCCAGGGGACACCCTCTTTTCTCAAAGCTCTTGTCTCAGCAGATTAGAAGTTTGATCTTTGCTTGCTAAATGCCACTTTCTTTCAAAAGACATCTATACTGTTGTGCCAAAAAGACACAAAGAGATGAAGTTTCTGATGGGAATTAGGTGTTGTCTGAAGCACAGATCTGGATGTGCAGCAGCCCTTGGACAGAGCCTTGGGACATCCCATCTATGCACGTTGTAAAAGAGAGTGGTTGGGGCAATCTGGAAAGCAAGCGGGCTGCTGTGCACCAGCCTCTGCTGTAAATGCAGCACTTTTCCTTCAGGAGGTGGCCAGAGTCTCACGTCCCAGCTGGCTGGCACCGGGCTCGGCAGGGAGTCCTTCCAGGGTGCCCCTCGGTCAGGGCTTCAGAAGTCACGGAGCCTTCTCCAATTTTGGCTCCAGAGTCTGCATCTGTGAACAAACTCTAGAGCTTGTATCCGAATTCGCAGCATCCATTACCTGCTCGCGTGTAGCTTGCACAATCGCCCCGCCTGCAGCCCTGCCTTTGGTAGCTGGCATGTGGTTGATTCACACGTGTGAAGGCGTCAGGCGCTCTGACCTAAACTGAAACAAGCATTTTGTGACGACCATCAAACGTCTGCGCGGTGCGCGCCGGAGCGCTTTACTGGAAACGCTTGCTCCATTTGTTTTCTCTGAAATGCAATGGAAAGTCGGTTGAGTTTGAGAAGACAGCTGAACTCAAACCCATCAGCAGGCAGCGGTTGTGTGCACGCAGGCAGATCCCTCACGCAGGTGACAGCAGCAGCCTGGGTGGCTTTGCAAGGAGTGTCTGCCCTTCCCGGCATCGCTGACAGTCTCTCTGTGGAACATGATTAGCAGTCTGCTTGTATAGGGCTGCTGAAGGCGGATTGTCACGATGCAACTGGAGTAAAAACCTCTGCACTTGCAGAGCCGAATAAGAGATGCCCCTGCAAAGGCCTGGGGGTCTGAATGACCTGTGCACGGTTTGGGCTCACGGCAGGAGCTGGAGGGAGCCACATGAAGGTGTTTCTTGGTTATGCTTGCACTTGGGTGCTGTGTTCTGTCCTCTGCTTCTAGTCAGTTCAAAGAACCAGTTTTTAGAATAAAAATATTGTCCCTGTAAATAATGTTATGTGTTACTTGGACTAGAGAATAGTTCTCTAACGTGTTTCTAATCTGAGTGTCTCCACAATTCTTCCTTCTGTTTACTACCTTTGGGGACATCATTTATATGTATAGCATGTCTTAGGTGTTTTGCTCTTACTCATTTGCAGCTATTGGCAGTTCCTGTGAGCTTATTTCGGGTGGGATGCGGTCTTGGTGGGTGACGTGCCTTTGCTCCGTGGTCCCTTAGTGGACTGTTGGGAAGCGCTGTCAGGAGGCAACCTCAGCCTGGCTGGCGGTGCGGAAGCATCGCGGCCTGTGGAGAAACCTGGAATCCTGCTCCATCCCCTCTGGTCGCTATTCGGAGATAAGAACTTCAGGGTTTCCTTGAGGCGCCCTGGGCGGCGCTGCAGGGTGGCACGGATATCTCCTGTGAATATTGACCAGCTGTTTTAAAAGCAGCCTGCTGCCCTGTCAGAAAGGCAAGAAGCAGCTCCATTGGTGTCTCAAAGTCACTCACTGGAGCCCCGACTGCCTCTGCTCGGGATGGTCAAAGGCAGGCAGAGCAGAGATGGCCCCATAGACCCCGCTTCTCAGAAAAGCGGGCAGGATATATTGCTATTCCCATTTTTAATTTGTTTTTTTCAATAAATCAGACTTTGTTCCTCTTCATCATGTAAAGCTGTTGGATCGTGAGCTGCTGCAGAATGCTAACTAATTTCATAATACTGTGCATAAGGTGACCCACTTACAAGTTCATCCTTCAATCGTGTTTAAGCTTTGGTCCTGATTTATGTAACAGCATATTGGTTTCATTAAAAATTGTCTGATCGCTCACTATGCTGGCTCCTTTTTGACCTGTATGTGATTTGTGTTCTCAATTTTAGGCAAAGCTTTCTGTCTCTGTACACATATGGGCCGAAGAACTTTAATACACCTTTTTAAAACTAGTCAAGGCTTTGAGCATTTCTGTTGTTTAAATACGTGTTAGAGATTTAAACGAGGTTTAAAATGAAGCTTGTTGCAGACTGCAAAAGTAGAAACCTAGCACTAAAGAGCCCTTGTTATTGTTGCCCTCTTTGTACGTTTTGGGGACTGAGATTGACATGGACATGGACTGTTGCATGTTATGAGTCACAGCCCCTTCGATTCAATGGGAGGAAAGGCAGAACAGTTTTCCTCTGCATTTTGTTCAAGCTGTTTTGTTTCTGAACTCAAAAATTACCTTTTAGATAGTTATGTGATCGTTATGGATGCCCCATCAATGCCTAAGGGTAAATATGAGTTAGTATATTCATGTTTTTAAAAGTATATTCAGAGGTTATTAACAAGAAGCTAATGCAGTTGAGATACTTCGGCTTTCTTCAACAGTGAGATATGAATCTCTGCTTCTCTAAGTTTGAATTTACAGCAAGCTAATTAACTTTTAGTCATTCAGGTTATCAGGCAGCGCAGGAAAGTGAAGTAATTCAGGTTCAGGTCTTTGTGCAAAGCTAAATGTTTTGTTCTGTTTTCTCTTTTAGCATTCATTCTTCTGTCGACTAACAGAAGACAAGAAATCCGAAAAGTTTTTTAAGGTTTTCTATGATCGCATGAAAGTGGCACAGCAAGAAATCAAGGCTACTGTCACGGTCAACACAAGTGACTTAGGAAATAAAAAGAAAGACGAAGACTCGGACAGAGAAGTATCAAACAGGAAAAGAGGTAATCCCCAGTTGTTCCCCTTTAAAGTGACAAGGGAATAAAATACTATTTCAAACTCATTTGCAATTGATGCAATAATGCTCTGATCTCTGATCCCACAGAGCAAAGTTCAGAAATCAGTGGTGCCCTGGCTTGGGATTTCAAGAGCTTCATCCCCCTTTCATCCATTTGTGAGACTGTACTATTGAAATGATGAAAAGTATTTCTGAGATGAGAATCTGCCACCTTGTCTAACCTGACAAGTTGCCCAAGTCTGAATCATAGTAATGACCCTGGGCTGTGGGTCATGGTCAGTGGCTTCTCCGGCAATAACTGGAGAAATCCTATTTTTCTTCTACAGTAGGTTCTCTTATTAGAACTCCTAGTAATTCTAGATGTGTGCTCCCTAACCAATTAATATTAGAGTTCATAACTTTAATATGGTTTGCATAGAAGGTGTAAAGAGTGGGGTGATAGCATTCTAAACTCAAGACCCTCACTGAACATACTTACATGCACTAAACAGACTTACAGGGAAGACTTGATGATGAAGAGCGACGGTTATTGTGGTGCCTGTGTGCAACGCTAATGGGAAAGGGGTGCATAGCTTCTCCTGTCCTCTTTATTTGGTTTGCCAAAGGAAGATCTGTGCTTACGAATTTTAGTGCGAGAGCCTATGACCCAAATCACGGAGGAAGTCCGGGATCAGCTACTGGAGGCTTCGGCGGCCACCAGGAAGGCTTACAACACTTACCGGCGGGAGGCTGACCCTGACGACCATTATTCCGCTGCGGAAGGAGCGCAGTCCGCAGCGGACAAGAGCAAAGATGACCTGGAGATGAGCGCGGTGATCTCCATCATGCAGCCCATCCTGCGCTTCTTGCAGCTGCTCTGTGAAAACCACAATCGGGATTTGCAGGTACGGTCTGGCTGCGGAGCAGCTGTGCAAGTTACAGCCTTGCTGGTCACTGCTGGCACCTCTGTCTTGCTAATAACATGCTTAAAAAGTGAGAACTACTGAAATTATTTGCTCATAAAGGTATCCCAATAAACCACACATGTACATTACTGGACAAATACAGAACTATAGGCCAGTCCAATTATCTCGTGCTCACTTTATATTAGCAATGGAGAGATCAATGTTTGATGTGACTCTTTGACTCTTTCCTTTTTAAAACAAACACAGTACTTAAAGTAATCAGGTGGCCTGATGAGATGCATCCACAGTGCTGAAGGAGTGCTCAGTATCATCATAAGGCCACCCTTGGTTCTCATTGAAAGGCTGTGGCAATCAGGATTGGTTCCTGAGGCAACTGGAAGAGAGCAAGTGTCACCCCTATCTTCAAGAAAGGCAATAATGAAGATTTGGACAATTACCGTTCAATCCCTGAAAAGGTAGCAGAGCAAATAATCTTGGAAACCAATTTGAAATACATGGAAGGTGATTTAGAGTAGTTAGCATGGATTTGTCTTTAGCTAAGCTGATGAGGTGCTTAGATACTACAAGTACCTTACATGAGGTGCATAGATGACAAGGTAGACTGAAAAGTGGCCAAGCTGCTAGACTCAGGGCTATGATCAGGAACGTGATGTCCAGCTGAACCCAGTCACTCGTGGTGTTCCCAGGGGTCAGTCCCGGGGTCGGTACTGTTTAACCTCTTCATTAGTGACCTGTACAACAGAGCAGAGTGCACCACTGGCAAATTTGCAGATGATGCAAAACTGGGAGGTATTGATTGAGCAGATGGTTGTGCCGCCGTTCCCAGGGAGCTCAGCGGACTGGAGAAGTGCACCCACAGAAATGTCACCAGGTTCAACAAGGGGAAGTGCAAAGTCCTGGCCCTGGGGAGGAGCAGCTTCCTGTACCAGTACAGGCTGGGAGGGCAGCTTGGCAGCCAAAGCCTGTGGGAAGCCCTGGTGGGTGCCAAGTTGTCCGTGAGCCAGCAATAACCATTGCAGCAAAGGCAGTCAACGGCCTCCTGGGCTGGGCTGGGCTAGGCAGAGCCTTGGCAGCAGGTCAAGGTGGTTGATCCCTCCCCACCGCTTAGCACTGGGGTGTCCCTGCTGCAGGAGAGCCGTGGGCATCCTGGAGCAGGTCTTGTGAAATGTCACAAGGGTGACTAAGAGTCTGGAGCTACTGTCATGTGAGGAGATGCTGAGAGAGTGGGGCCTTTTGAGCCTGGAGAGCATCTGGGGAGATGTTATCAGTGTGTATAAATACCTAATTGTGTGAGGGAAAAGGGGTTATGGAAGAAAGAACCTCCTCAGTGCCCCCTGAGAAGCGATGGACACAGACTGAAACACCAGCAATTCTAATTAAAAATAAGATTATTTTTAATATTGCTGAGGTGATAAAACGTTGGAAGAGGTTGGCCCAGAGAGGTGGTGGTGCCTCCCTGCTTGGTGACTTCTGGAACCCGGATGAGTGTGGTCCCGAGCAGCCTGCTCTAGTTGACCGTGCTTTGAGCAGAGGTGCTGGGCAGGATGGTCTCCAGAGGTCCCTTATCACAAGCGATCCGTGCTCTTCTGTGATGTGTTCGTATGATGTTAGAGTGAGTCCAAAACTTGTACGTCAGTGATCTTGCCTCCAGGGGAGACAGGCACTAGGTAACATCCGTGCTGGCACACGGGCTCCGATTAGCAGGACTGTTGCTGCAGGATGAGCACCGCGGGGGCCGCCGCGACGCGGGCAGCCGCGCTGCAGGGCGTCCTGCAGGAGGGCTGAGGGCCCCGCTCGTGTGCCCGGGAGCAGCAGGGCCCCTGCACAGCGTCCCCTCCGCTCGGCTCCGCGCCCCGCTGCTGGCAGCATCTGCCATCAAACATCAAATCTCTGTGCTCATGTTCCTGCACTACCGACATGTCGTTCTTTTAACGTTTTATAGGTGTGGAGGTTACGTACATCATTCTCTTTACCTCTTTTTTTCAAAAACTATTTGATCTTTGTTTTGTCAAACAATTTTCATGCCGTTAGCAATGTTGGAGACAAGTAGGACAGCAGTTTTCTGTGGCACGCATCCAAACCGCATGCACAGGATCCGCTGCTGCCGCCTTTTCCTAGGCACTGGGAACAAAACAGCCCACACGTCTGTGCAGAAGCCGGGCCAAACAACTGCTTTCCTCGAGCTGCAGGAAGCTGCATTCGGCTCTGGGAGAAAAAGGAAGAATATTTCCAATATAATCCTATTACTGCCTGCCTCGACACTCCTTTTGGCCTGGTGGGAGGCAGGTCTGAAGCTTCAATATGTTGTGCCTGCAGGTAGTAGGTTATAATTTAACTCCTTATCAATATTACCAGTGGAATCACTGCTTGAAGGAATATGTAAGACGTGTTGGAAGCGGTGTGTTTTCCAGAATGACATGGATTGCATTTGAATCGGAAGTCACTGGGCATCACCAAGTTACTTCAGTTAAGACTTTACATCCGACAGGGTCTCACCAAGCATTTTACAAGGTCTTAGCAGTCGTGAAGAACCTGATGTTATCCGAGTACAGAACATAACCCTCGCCATAAGAGTGGAAGGGCACGTGTCCCACGTGAGGAGGAAGCCCTCACGAGTTGGCTTGTGTGGTTCCCAGCTGTACCTTTCCTATCACTTGGTTGTTCCTTTCCCTAGCAAAGCTGCAGCTTGCTCCCCATGTGTGTACAGTTTCAATATTATGTTTAGAAATCTCTTCTTAAGGTGAAAAGTATACTTGATGTTTTTTTCTTACAAAGTGAGTTGTTATTTCCATGAGGCTAAATATTGCAGTCATATGCCAGCTGGTCATATTCGAAGTCTAAGCCTGTAGGTTAAGTGTTGCTTTTGTATGAATTGACTTAACTTTCAGCATTGGGTTTTACTGTCTCTTTTCTTCCTAATCTCTGGAGATGTAGCCTAAGTAATACAGTTCAAAAATCAGCGTTTGATTTTTGACTGGGTTGGCTTTCTGGCGTCGGGGCCCTCAACCAGGCTGTCCGCCTGCGAGCAGAGCTCGTGTTGGTGCCATTGTGCTCGTGCCCCAGAAATGGGACAACTGCGGCCTAAGAATATATCGGAACGTGAAATCAGCCAAGGATCTGCCCCAGGTCATTCTGCAGCTCTGACTTTATGCTCAATGCAGGGCTTGGGACTTAATTCCTCAGACTCTTTCCCAATGAGCATTTTTGGGGTGGCATTTTCAGTAACGGGGCTTTGTGTCACCCCTCCTGGGCTCTCGGCTGGTATGAAATGGAGAGCTTGGGCTCTCCACTGTGGCTCAGGGGTTTCCTTGGCCACTTCTTTTCTGGGCTGTGAAATCCAGGGCTCCTGTTCTCTGGAAGTTTTCCCTTCACTTGTTCAGCTGTCTCCTGTTGCCTCCTCTACCTTGTTCTTCCCCTTCCTTTTGTTTTCATTGACTTTGGATCAACAAGCCAAAGCTGGCATAAACTGTGCTATTATCTGGGTATAAAAGCCTTACCACAGAGAGACTTTCTTGGCAGGGCAGCGTTTAGTTTTGTAGCTTTTAATGTGTGCTGTTGTTTTTGCTTTTTTCCTGGAGGGAAGGGAAGAGCTCTGATCTCTGCAGCATCACCCTTTCTGCACGCCGGCAGCCTAATCAAAAGTCAGGCTGCCGAGAGAGCAATCAGTGCAAACGTGCTGAATCACCGTCACCTTTCGACTGCCTTCGGCGGCAGCGTGTTCCCTTTTTAGCCCAGCCTTCTACTGAATCTGGCAATTTCTCAGTCTCTTTGCCTTAAAAGACTTATTAGGCTGACGCAAGCACTGGAGGCGAGCAGTCAAGGGCCGGCGCAGGGAAAGGTCCTTGCTGCTTCCAAAGTCCCATGCATTATTTTTTCTGTGGGATTGTTTTTCCCCACCTTTTAAAGTGAAATGTTTTGTAATGAGCTAGGATTAAGCTAGATACGAGTTGTTTTGCTGAAGCTGCTGGGAAAAGGAAGCAATTGTGTCCATTTCTTTTGCAGAACTCTGCTAACAGATGCTAACAAACAGCATGTGAGTCAATGGAAAAATGCTTTTCATGAGTTATCCCTCTTCATAGTCGTGGTTTTGCTGCTGTGTTTTGCAGTACAAGAGATGGATATATCTCTCTTTACATGGATAAATCTGTTGTTTCGCTAGAGGGACTGCAGCTAATGAGCACCTTCAAGAAGGGGTTGTGGTAGTTGTTTGGGAACTACTGGAATATAGAGAATTGCATTTTTAGGGTACCTTTCTTAGAGTCATGCAGCCAAATACCTCCTTGCCGCTTATGCACATGGTAACTGTGAAACTGAAGTCAGGGAACTGCTTTTTCCCCCTCAGAGAAGGTCTCTGCAGTCCTCGGGCAGTCCAAACACAGCTGGTAGGCTCAGAAAGGGAGCTGCCAGGCTTGGGAGAGCTTTCAGATCCCGTAACCAGAGCGCATTGCCTGCTCTGTTCTTCCCCAGCGCTCTAATGGTGTGTTCTGAAGATTGCTTGTTATTTTCTGTAGAATTTGAAACCAATAAGCTGCTTGAGAGCTGTGCATAGCAAACTCTGGAAAAATCCAGGTTGGCTGTACCAGGCTCCTTGTGATCAAGCTCCAGTGAAGCTAGCAGCCTTTTTACCTTGCAGAGAAACTATAGGTGCATGGACTTAAAAGGTTATGCTCCAAACATGATCTTTGTTCTTTTCCTGTTTTCTTCTATACTGTCTTCTCCTGGGCTGTGACATTGGTGCTGCAGAACTTCCTGCGCTGCCAGAACAACAAGACAAACTACAACCTGGTGTGCGAGACGCTGCAGTTCCTGGACTGCATCTGCGGTAGCACCACTGGTGGCCTCGGGCTCCTCGGCCTCTACATAAACGAGAAGAACGTGGCACTGATCAACCAGACTCTGGAGAGCCTGACAGAGTATTGCCAGGGGCCCTGCCACGAGAACCAGGTGACGTGCGGGACGAGTGGCCTTTTGTTTTATTGCCTTGATGAGCTCCTAAATAATCAGCTTCTTTGCTGGGACTGCTTCCATGGAATGGAAGTATTGAAAACATACTTAGACATTTTCCTGCTTGCTAGACTGGACAGGGAGAGTGGGCAGATTTTGTAGTTTTATAAACTTCAAGTTCCTTATGGCAAAGCATTGCTAAAACAGCTATCCATCACCAGCTGGGAATGAGGCTGGCAATGCGACTGTGCAGCCCAACGGGATGTGCTGGAGCTCTGCAGCTTCCTTAACGAAGTTGATGACCACGGAGGGGGTTGAGGTTATTTTCGGGCTTAACCTCAAGGGCTGCTGTGGCCAAGGGCCAGAAACACTGCGAGCCCTCCGGCTTCTCCCCAAACCAAACTCGCTATTGTCAGCCTGTCCTGCTATAAGCAGGAATAGCTGTTTTAAAGCAAGCACGGTGGTTTAAATACTCTCTTTACAGGGGAGGCATAACTGAAAAACAGCCATAATCCTATTAGATGCAGTGGTCACAGGCCCGTGGTTGGACTTAATCTGGTCCATGCCTCTGAAGTTAAAGAATTCATAGCAACTATGGGAGATGCTTTATGTGCATGAGCAGGGACTTGGAGCCGCTTGGAAATTGCACTTTGCTACCATGGGGCAGGCCCCAGGACACCATGGCTGCGCAGCTTGGCTCTGCTCTTGGTCGTGTCCTTCCACCTCCTCACATAACTCTGTGACCATGTTTAGAGTAGGACCACCAATTAATCAGGCCACTCGTGTGTCCTGGAAGTGGGCTTCATGCTGTAACTATTCCTTTCAATGGGATAGCATCTCAAGTTTGTGAGTTTAAAATAAACCATGCTAAACAAATAGCTACCCCAAAGTAATTTTTCAAACTCAGACTGGTCTACGGCATTGACTGTAATAAGTCCTCAATATGTATTTTAGAGAACACTTTTTGTGTTGGGCCGTTGTGATATGATAGGCTGTATTTCCCATGGGTCTTCAAACTTCCCTAACTATGGGTTTAGCCTAAACGCTTTTACTTGAAAATACTTAATTTACCAACTGCATTGCTTTTTGCTTCCCGAGTCTGGGTGGCTTCAGTAGGACATGCAATGGTTGTTCATAGGAAATGCTTGAAACAGAATGCTTTAATCTCTTCTTATTCCACTCAGAGTTTTCTGTTCAATTAGCCATCTCAGCTTCTAGGGTGACTTTTCTGCTCTGGCAGGGTCCCTAGATGGGCTGTGTGTAGTATAGACAATTAGTGAAGTTGTGATGAATTTTCTTTGGACAGAACTGCATTGCTACCCATGAATCCAATGGCATTGACATAATCACAGCATTAATTCTCAATGACATCAACCCTTTGGGAAAGAAGAGGATGGACCTTGTGTTAGAACTGAAGGCAAGTGAATATTTTATGCAATCTACATTAACAGTAAGCTGAAACATAATTTTATTGCTGGAATCATGTGGGTGTTTATTATATCCCAATATTCAGAGGTGCCAAAAACTATATGCATCAGAGAGCTGAAGGCAGGACCCAAAGATTGTTTGTCACAGAAAAGATGAATATCTTTTAAATGATAAGGCAGCACCTAATATGGAACCACTAGCTTGCAGGTGTGGGGAACTGCAGGCAGTCCAGATAGGTAAGGAATTCTAATTCCCCTGTGAGAAATCTAAATCCAGTTAAAAATTCTCTGTTGTCGAATGAGCTCTTGCATCCACAATGTAAATTAAATGCCGTGTGCTACCTCAAGTTTTCTAATGCTTTGTTACTGCTAAGTTATGTCGATGTTTAGTCACCAGAACTTTTTTAAGGGCTATTCAGAAACAATTAGCCTTTGTGTTGGTTTCCAAATATGCTAACATGCTGTCTTATAAGCGTTGCAGTCACAGAGTACCCCACCTTCATCATGCACCTAAGGACTATTTCCTGTCGTACTGTCCTTTTTTGCAATGAAACGTCTGCTTGGTTTCCAGGGCCGACTCACACGATTATTATAGGTAGTGCGGGTTTTTTTATTATTCTAAATAAAAAAAAAAAAAAGCTTTTAGACTCAATTAGCATTATACTTCAAAATTAAATACTTTTATTGGTTTTTATTGTCGGTCATGATGGATTTCAATCTTAATTGTTCATATAAAGTAGTCTGCCTTGTGGTAGTTTCCCATTTCCTCCCTCCCTCTCTTGGCATGAACAGGTTGCCGAGTAATTTTCAGTTAAAAGCAATGAGGCATGTCCCTGATTGCAGCCTTGGCTTCCTTTGATTTAAGGAGCAGCATCTCGAATAAAGCTGACCTGCACCAATGTGGAGCTGAAAACTTCTAGTAATGTTGCCACATGTTTAAAACAAATTCTGACAGCGTTTAAACCTCGGTATTTTAGGAATCTAAAGCTTGAGTTAATTTGTCCCCTAGTAAGTAAGGTTTGAGTAATAAACTGCTTTTAAAAAAAAGATAAATTTGCATTATTGATTTACGTGGATAAATATATACATATTTATGTGTGCTGGGGGAGGTGAGGCCGAGCCCTGCAGCGTTTGCAGCCGAGCCGGGTGCTCCTGGCGAGCAGGTGGGCTGCGGAGCCGCAGCGGGACACGCGCTGCCTTGGCGTCCTGGCACCGAACCGTGTGTTCTGCCTTCCTGCAGAACAACGCTTCCAAGCTGCTGCTGGCCATCATGGAGAGCAGGCACGACAGCGAGAACGCCGAGCGCATCCTGTATAACATGAGGCCCAAGGAGCTGGTGAGTCCTGCAGCCCTTTCCTAGTGCAAGGGAAGCACTGGGGACAGGGGACACTGCCAGCCGTGGAACTCCAAGGGTCTGCACAGGGATCACTGGAGGAGCTGCCAGGGATTAGACTGGTTGTACTCTTGGCATCCGGATCATTTGTGAAGTGCTAGAAGCACAAGCAGAAGGCTGGAGTCTTAACATATCACATGTGTGGCCCCGAACACACGATTTAGAAATATAAAATGTTAGTCTCTTGTGTTCATGAACTGAAGTGAAGGTCTCTCTCTGACTTCAGGTCTCCTCCTATCTTGGGTGTTAAGCGTGCAGACCTTCCCCTAGAATGCAGATGCTTGACTCCCTTTGAATTCTGTGGGAGTACCGAATATATTGGCTTTTGCAGGCTTTCTCTCTCAAATTGGAGCTCTTTCATTTGCCTATGGCTGTGTTTCTAGGTGGAAGTGATAAAGAAGGCGTATCTGCAAGGTGAAATTGAATTTGAGGATGGGGAGAACGGAGAAGACGTTGCTGCATCCCCAAGGAACGTGGGACACAACATTTACATACTAGCTCACCAGGTAAACGATGGCCACTTGCAGCTTGTGTAGCACCAAGCAAATTGTGAATACAGAGATTTTATTTTACTGACAGTTGTTCTAATTGCTTATCTCTGAGGTAAACTCAGTATATATTCTTTTTTTTATAAGAATAAATACTAGTATTTACTAGATTTTTTTGATTCTTTAATATGAATAAGAAACTTCCTGGACTTTCCTGGTGCAGCGCAGGCAGTCTCTTGAGGAAGCTTCTGAAAACATGTGATTTAGGGCCTTGGCAGTTCTAGAGAGGCAATCTATTTTTTACCTGTATCAAAGGTCACTTTATGCTAGTCATATTTGTTCTTTTGGTCTAATTTGGTGCTTGAAAGATAAAAGGCCAAGTTTTAGACGGAAAAAAAACCCACAGAACTCGTTAATATGTTATTATTTTGGTGCTACCTCTGTCAGTCTCTTGGAGACTCCATGTTCCTTTTGCATCTGAGGAAAAAAAATCGCTATGCTGTGAAACGAATTTGGAGTATCAAGTAGCGCCCTTTTGGAGCAGTGCTGTGTATATCTGCTATTCAACTCAGGCAAAGTTTCTCCTCCATCTCTGCTCAGTATTGAGAGATTGGTGCACCTTTGAATTAGGTTGCTTGTAGAAGGATAAGACCATGTGAACCTTCTGAACTTGCCCAAGTCGGGCAAAGAGTGGATAGAGATGGGATAAAAGAAGAATAGCAGCATGGATATTAAAAAATGCGTATTTGAATTATTCTGACTTGCTCCTAAAATAGATCTGCAGGGTGTCTGGTTGGAATAGAAGCAGCCTTCTGTCAACTTTGCCCTTTCTTAGCAGCTGACTGTGTACTATTTCTTTTTTATGCCAAAAACCAGATATTTAATATTATAGGGAGACATCTGGTGTCTCCCACTCCCTTTGCATTTCTTTATTTTAGTTGGCTCGTCACAACAAAGAGCTGCAGAACATGCTGAAGCCAGGAGGTCAGATCGAGGGAGACGAAGCTCTGGAGTTCTACGCCAAGCACACAGCACAGATCGAGGTAGGGGAAGGCTGTGTGTGGAGGGGGAAACAGCCTCTGTGGAAAGAGCAGTTTGGAAGAAAAACTAAGAGAGTAAACAACAGTTACATGGGAAGTGATATTTTGATTGAACTGACTACCTGTGTGTGGACTGTCATCTTTGACATAAGAGCATACATATATTTTTATTTTTTTGACAGCCTTGGGGTGGTGGGAAGCTATTTTTGAGCAGTCTTGTGTAGGCTTTCAGATGGAGCTAAGCAGACCTCTGTTGGCAAGAAGTACTGTAGCTTCACTTCCTTGTCACTTTTTGGCCAGCAGTATGGCTGAATCCATGAGGCTAGCAGTATCTTCTACCATTCTTTCCTTATTTAAATGAGTTTGGCCTGTCACACAGTTGATCTAAGATGCTTTTTAAAAGTAAAACACACACAAACATGAGAATGTTCTAATAAGCAAGATGAATAAGGCTCCTCATTTTTTGCCTATGCAAGAAGCGTGGCTAAAACATGCTAAGATTCTCCAGCTGGGCCACCAGGTTGCTGTGGAATTCAGAGCAGGTTTGGTGCAGGGTGTGATGGGCCTTTGGATACCCCAACTAGGAACAGTTTTGCCAAAATATGATTACAGCTTAGAACCTATCACTCATCGAACTAAATGTAGGCTTTCCTTTGAAAGGTAACTTAACTGAAAAGTTTCTCAAGTTGCCGTTCTACAGAAATGTGCCTGAGCTTCTATATGTAGCTGCTTTTAAAAGCAGGGGGGAAGCTCAAGAAATAATCATCTAAAACAAAGTAAAACCTCTAATAAAAATGTTTTCCAGATTGTCAGGTCGGACCGTACAATGGAGCAAATTGTCTTCCCTGTACCCAGTATATGTGAATTTCTCACCAAGGAGTCCAAGCTGCGGATATATTACACCACAGAGAGAGATGAACAAGGCAGCAAGATTAATGATTTCTTCATGAAATCCGAAGATCTCTTTAATGAGATGAACTGGCAAAAGAAATTGCGAGGTACGTTGCGGTTGCCTGTGTCGTTGTGTGAAGTGTTAGCAGCAGAGTGCTTAGGTTGGGTTTCCAAAGTTTGAAATATTTACTTGGTAGCAGATGGTTCCGCAGTGTGGCAGCAACCTTGATGACTGTTTGAAAGAATCTGCTCCTCTGCAGGATGACATTATGTTGCAAGGAAATCAAGCTTAATGTTAGAATACTATGGACTAAATGGAGAGAACCCATGGGGAAAAAAAGTAAGAAAGATCTCGGGTCATCTTTTTTAAGATCCAAGAGGAAGGAACAAATTGGTGGCTTAGCTTCAGGGAGAATGTATTTGGTGGCAGGGAGAGATGAGGAGGAGGAAGAGAGTACTAGAAAGCTGAAGAAGTAGTCAGCTCTCCTTTCCTGTGCTGGGTATAAGAAGCTGTTGCCTTAGTTGCAAGAAATAATAATGCAAGGTAATGCAGCACTGGTGTGGGCTGCCCGTGGGGAGGGCTTGGCATCTCCAGCTGCGAAGGTTTTTCAGAGCAGGTTGAACAAGTCTTTGTCACTAATAGCAAAAGAAGCATCGATCCTGCCTTTGAGCAAGAAATGGACAAGAAGACCTGCGAATTAAGTCCTTTCCAACCTGTAATGTCAAAATACCTGAAAGCAAACTTTTTTTTCAAGCAGTAGTTTTCCTGCTTTTTCCCCTGAAGTTTTCTCTAGTAGCTAAGAGAACCTTAAAAATGACTTTTTACTCCATGCGGTACCATCAGTCCCCCTTATTAGCCTTCTATCTCATTTGCTTAAGATTCTTTTTAAAGATAATTTCTGTTTTCACTGAACAGCAGCATTGCACACGAGGCTCAGCTGCAGTGGGCAGCGAGGAGCGGTTAGAATTTACCAAGAGTGACCCTCCGAAATGTCAGAGATAAAGCAGCTATTTCCTGCTCGCGTCGACATCTGCCATCTGATACTGCTGCAGTTCCCCCTGCTCAAGTCAGCTGAACTCTAATTACTAGCACAGGAGCTCCAGCGGCTCCAGGGCGTTCTCCTAAAGTGAATGGATGGTAGAATGGGCAGCAGATTCCTGCTGTACAGCTGTGTGCCCCTCGCAAACTGCCTGCAGAGCCAGACCAGTACAAACGCTTTTCAGTGAGGTGGGAGCAGAAATTGTTTCCAAGGCAAGGGCTGCACTGCCAAGCTTGGGCATCATTGCCTGTCCTGGAAGCATGTTAGATTAGATGGGACCTGCAACAGTCAATCTTAGACTAGATGGGGCCTCCAGAGGTTCATATAGGAAAATAAAACATTTCATTGAGACAGCAACTTTGTATTTACGGCATCCATCTATTCTGTTGCATTTTGTTGTTTGAATTTGGACTTGCAAGTTATTTTGTCTTTGAGGTTATCTCTAAGCAAGGTATGAAGACACCTATCATGTAAAACTGACTGTGAGTAGATCAAAAATGCAAGGCAGAAGTAAAAAATACTTTTAAATAAAAGACCTAGAATTTTCCGTTAAAATTATAGGAGTTCAGTTCTGGGGGATTTTAATTTGATGCAGTTACTATGAGGTAGTTGTTTTGCCATCCTTTTCATCTCCTGGTCTGTGACTGACCACCTCAGAAAATGAATCTTCTTGCTTTGTGCTCTTGGCTCTAGACGCAGAGATTATTAAAACTAGGACTTAAAAGTATTTGTAGCTTTAAGAATGTGAGATACGTCTCTGTTTAACTGCACCTTTAGCTCTGCAAATGTTTGTGTCCTTTGCCTACAGTGCAGAGCGATGGTCACCTTGCTTGAACTGGGTTGTTATCTTGGGATATGTTGGTCTATAATCAGCTCGGAGTAAACTTGTCCTGTGTCTGGCAGCTGGTCTTAAAACATTTTAGCCTTGTCTATACATTGCTGCACTGCATTATTGTCCCCCGAAGCCCAGCTAGCACTATCATGGATAATTTTTTTTCTGTCTGGCTGCAGTGGAAAGGTGCCTTGGGGTGGGTGAAGGTCGAATGTGGGTGAGCAGCTGGTAGCAGCGCCCACGGTTTGGTTGCAAGGGATGGTGCTGAATCTCACCTGTGCCACTGAGTATGGATTTTTATTCCTCCTAATCCTTTGTAGCTCAGTATACAACAAAGTATATTATGAGGGGAAACATGAAGTCCATGACCTCTAGGATTTCTGAACTCATTCCCTTGCTGATGCTAGGTGTAGATTCATGTTTGGAAATGCCTTCCCTACTGACATTGGTCCTTTACCATAAAGCCCTATCCAGGAAACTGGAAGTACCCAAAAGGTGTCACCCTAAAGAGTCGTCAAGTAAACGCCAGCACAGGTAGTGGTTATTGCTACTGGTGGTGTTGTGCTTCTAGGCAAACTGAAAATGAACTGAGTTTTGGCTGAGATAAACTTCTTGCATAGTCATTTTGTCTTGATATGCTCCTTTAAAAAGTGTTTTTTGTTTGTTTTTGCCTTTGCAGCTCAGCCTTTCCTGTACTGGTGTGCTCGCAACATGTCCTTCTGGAGCAGCATTTCCTTTAACCTGGCTGTCCTCATGAACCTACTTGTAGCATTTTTCTATCCATTCAAAGGAATTCGAGGAGGTACTAATATTTAACATGCAAAAAATATGTGCATAAATAAAGTTTGATGGGCCAAATTCTGTTCCTGCATTGCCTGTATGGCCCTATTATCTTCATCAGAAATGGCAGAACAGAAATTGGCTCTTGACATTGTCTTGAAGTTTAAACGTTGCTGTTTTCAGACTTACCTGCATAAAAAATGGTCTAGGATTTGCAAAGAAATCCTAGATGAGGAGGGACACTAACGTTTTTGTAATCCTTTCTGTGTTGAGGTATTTGTGAGGAAAGTGCAGAGCCCCGCTTTTTCCTAGGGGAAAAGGTTATCGCAGACAGACATCACCTCTAATTACATGGCCATTCTACTTTAATTCTACTTTAATTACAGTTCTATAATTAAGTATTAATCTGGAAAGAGAGGAAGTATTAACTTGTTGTTTTTCTGGAGCTTGCATTTCATGCATGTCCTGTGCTGTGGAGCGCCCGTGGCCACGTCAGGAGGCGCGTGGGCCGCCGAGCAGCGGAGGGGAGGTTACCTGTGAACACAGGTGATGTGGGCAGTCAGGATGTGACTTTCCCTAGCGCCCTCCAAGGGCACATCCATGCTGACAGCCTCATCTCTCCCTTGGCACTTTCTCTTCTCAGGGCTTTGCCTATCTGAGCACTTAGCTTCAAGCTTGGCTTGAGGACCCAGGGACAGTTGCCAGCCCTGCCTCCCAGTCTTGGCCAAACCTGCAGCTCGGTTTCCTTGCCATAACTGGGTAGCAGCTGAACTTTCATTTCTAGCATAAACTATGCAACAACATGTGCAGTTCATGAGGGATTGCACAATCTCACTCTAGTAGGTCTCATGGAAGATATTTTTGACCCGAACAGTGGGTTTGTGTGAGAGAAATGGTTGTTAGAGCCAACTCAGTAAATGCTTCCCAGGAAGACCTGATCAGACCCAGCTGGTTCTGCCTAGACTGAGCATCTCTGAAGGATGCACCCTATGGCACGCCGACTGGTGGGTTCCTGTTAACAAAAACCAGGAAGCGGACGGACAAATCCTCCTACGAGTGTCCGTGTGATGTGTTTATCACTTGTCAAACTGGTAAAGAGGAAATACCTGGGTGGGAGCTGTTGCCACATTTGTGTCATCTGAGGCAAGTAAGAATCCCAGAAGTAAAACCTCATCCTGGAGAGCATGATTCATGCTCAAGCCTTCACTTCTTTCTTTTCACATTCATTATACAGCTGGGCCAGGCAGATTTTTATCTTCTGTTGAACTTCTCCCTGCACCTCTTTCCTTGATCATTACAAGTTGCCAAGCCTAAAGAAAGCAGAGCTCAGAGATGGCAAACAGCCTGAAAGCAGGTTCTTGTTCAGTACTGTGTGACATAAATGCCATTTTACCATTTCTGCAGTTCCTCAGTCAAGTTAAACTAAGGAGAGCCTTAGTTTTGCCCAAGTAGTGTTGGATGAGTTACCAGCAGAGTTACCAGCATCCCCTTCTGAGCAGCTGGTGGTTTAAAGGTTTTAACAAGCAGAAAGAGCAACCGAGTTTTCCATCTGCAGTCTCAAAGGTCACAAGTTAAAATTTGCAAGTCTGAATTTACGGCCACTGGTAAAACTGCTAATTAAACAAGGTCTTTGAGATGGCAAGCTGCAAGATCAGGGGAGGAGGAAGGACGGTTTGGCATTTTGAAGGTGCCCAACCCTGCATATTTGAAATAATTTATCAAGTAAAGTTCTGATAAAATCTTTTTTGACTAGGTATCCTCAAGAATGTTTAAATATATATGTGTATATATTATATATGCAGCTTTAAGAAAGCAAGGTTTCCAAAACGGATCATTTGGAGGAAATTCTCAGCGTCTTGAATTGCTCAAACATGTTGAACTCGGAGCAGCTGATTAGCATATGCCGGCACAGCAGAAGCTGTAAAACTTATGACTTTGGGAGCAGAAACCAGCTTGGGTGCCTAGAACTAGATATTTAAATTGCTCGAATCCAGATACGTGGAGAACTTTCCGTGGAGCTCTCTGAATTGCACGTTTCTTCAGCCCCCAAGCCTGGGAGGGACTGCACGCGCTGGCAGCGGGCGCCGTGAGGCTGGGCTGGGTGCGGCGAGCGCCGGCTCCGTGCTGCGATTCCAAGGGCGTGAGGAGCCTCGGGAGGATGTCCCGAGCCTCCCGCTGGGATTTCGGCAGCTGCAAGGGCAGTTGTTGCCTCGTTCTGGGATCCGAAACTCCCTTCACACGGTGGAAGCATCTGTTTGACTTTAAGCTTATCAAGTTTTAATTTTCATCTATCCTCAGCTGCCTTTAGTTATCTGCAGTGGTTTGGAGCAAAATTAAATGGTTGCTCACTATGGTTGGAGGAGAGTAACATTTTCTAAGCTGCCTGAGTTTGGGATGTGAAGAGCCATCCCTGCGTGTGTTGCTCAGCAGCTCTCTGAACTTCCGCAAAAGGGCTGCAGAGTGAAATTTGGGGGAATCTCACTGTTTTGTTTGAGGTCCCAGTAATTTGAAGAAAAACACTTTCACGTGAGTGTCAGGAAAAGACGTCTTTATTCCACAAGGACCCCGAGTAACCAGTATTTTAGGCATCATATTTTTGTCGCTCTTGCACAGAGGTGTATTTTTAGCAACGCCGGCTGATGTTATGTAAGCAGATGCTCTCACGGGACAGTCTAAATAGAACCAGAAATAGCAAGAGATGGTAAAAAATGGTGCAAGGTTTTTGACCCAAGGCATGATAGAAGAATAGGCTGTGAATCGGGACCTGCTGAGTTTGTCGTCTGTCTCTTGCCTTCCCATTCAGTGCTTCTGCAGAATACATTAGCAAAACGCCTCTGCTTTTCACCATTCAAGGTGTGCAATAATGAAGAGGAAAATGAAGAATCCTATAATACTGGTGCCTATTTACATAATGCTCCAGTAACAAACTTGTAATTAAAACCTGCTGAAGGCATTGAGTTCAGACACTCTACTTTCCATCTTGAAATCGGTAATGCCTGAACAGGGAGATTAATGATATAGCACAACAAGGAGATAAAATGGCACTTATCTGACTATTTTTGGTTTTATTTGGTATAACAAAGTATTGAAGGTTTGTGGGTTTTGTGTGTTCTCTCCACCCTAGGTACGCTGGAGCCCCACTTGTCAGGCTTGCTGTGGACTGCTATGCTGATTTCTTTGGCTATAGTCATAGCTCTTCCTAAGCCCCATGGCATCCGAGCCTTAATAGCTTCGACGATATTACGACTAATATTTTCAGTTGGTTTACAGCCCACTTTATTTCTTCTGGGTGCATTCAATGTAAGTATTGAGTGGGCTTGGAAGCTCTGTTGCATCTTACGTAAGATTCTGTATCTGCTCGCGAAGATGTTGGACAAAAATAGTCTGGTACATTGTGGCAGTGGCAGCATTGCTTGGTGAAGAAGTAATTCCCACTTTGGGTTGTTTCTTAATAGAAATGCCTTGCTGCTTTTCATTTAATCCCAATTCCCCAAAGGGAAGAGCTCTAGGGTCTTGTGACAGCCTAGTAACAGCTCCCACCCTGGCTAAAAATGTTAAGAGGTCTCTGTGACCCTGGAGCGCTCCAAGTTGGTCTCTGAAACCCTGCCCTGGCCCAGTGACTGAACTGCAGCAGTATGGGGTTGGGTAAGGTTTGCTGAACACCACGTTCCCCAGGTGTGTCTCGCCTGCCAGCCCAAAGCGCCACCCGGAGCGGTTCTGCTCCGGCAGCGCACGTGGGAGCGGGGCTGCCCGGGACCTCCCGGGCGCTCGGAGCCGGGGAGCAGCGCTGCTCTCCCACTGAGTCAGCAGGAGCCGGGCACGGGTGCCTCTCCTGGAAGCCTTTGCCCTTCTTGCAACGGCTGCCTCTTCACAGCAGGGTTTAGTAGTGTCCCTGTCATCACCACGTGCTCGTGGGGGCCACGCTGCTGCCACGGCTGTGGGGGGGGCCGCAGCGTTTAGCAGGTAAGTGCAAGGGAGCTTTCCCTCTGCTGTTGACGGCATCCAGGACCTGATCCGAGGGCGAATTGCCGAGGCACTTGGAGTACTCAGTAACAAGCAGCAGCTGCTGCAGCCCAAGAGACTGCTCAGCTGCACGAGCATCAGGGCTCGTAGCTGCTGAGCACTTATTTAATGAGGACTTCATTCACATTAGGGTTGTGGTGTTATTTTCTTCTCTGAACCTTCAAATGTGGATGCCATGAGATAAAAAGCTGAAGATAAGCATCGGGGCACATGTTTTACTAGAGGTCTGTGGTTTTAGCTTTGGCTCTGCCAAAGCTGTGTAGAAAATGCAGCAAAAAGCAGTTTGCTACTCTGCAGAAAGATGGCAAGTAACCAGTGCTGTAGCATAGCTGTTGAAGCCATCATGTAGCTCAGTTATCACCAGCTTGGAGAAATTGCTTTATTTTTGTGAAGCTAATATATGGCTGATTTACCCTTAGGTTTGTAACAAAATCATTTTTCTGATGAGCTTTGTGGGTAACTGTGGGACCTTCACTAGAGGATACAAGGCGATGATCATGGATGTGGAATTCCTCTATCACCTGCTGTACCTTTTGATTTGTGCTCTGGGCCTCTTCGTACATGAATTTTTTTATAGCTTGTTGGTAAGTATTCATTCTGTCTGCAGGGTTTTTAAAACACCTTCAAAAAAAAACCACACCAGTGTTTTCTTGCCAGTGCTAATTTGGTGGAAAATATTGCTCACTTTAGTTATATATTTGATAAATTAACTAATTTAATTATGCTATTTTAATTTTTTTAAAAGATGAGGCAAATAATGCTAAAGGAAAAACTGCAGCAGAGTTTGTTAGCAGTTGTGAATTGAAGCAAGCTCTGCACATGTAGCATTTAAGCACGTAATGATCCCAGACGCTTGGTTAGGTTACCCAGCATAACCCCTCAAGTCGTGTTGGTGACGGATGCACCAAAAAGCCCCTGTGGTTTCACCACGGCTGCCAAGTGCAGATGAGGAGGCGGAGGGTGCAGCTGCCTTGAAGTGTGTGAGGCAAGTAAGGGGCAGTGAGGTGCGTGCCCCCCAAGCCTCCCACTCAATCCTCCTTTGCCGTATAACTCCTAAACAAAATATTAATAATAACAATAAAAAGTTGTATTGCTAATAGGCCATGTCATGTGATGCAGACATCTAACGTGCCACCAGTTTTATTGGTGACGTACTGGTGAAACAGCCTTTGCTTTTGCCTTTCTCCACAGCTCTTTGACCTGGTCTACAGAGAGGAGACCTTGCTGAACGTCATTAAGAGCGTGACTCGCAACGGGCGCTCCATCATCCTGACTGCCGTGCTCGCCCTCATCTTGGTCTACCTGTTCTCCATCGTAGGATACTTGTTCTTCAAAGATGACTTCATCCTGGAAGTAGATAAGCTCCCGAATGAAACACTTTTGCCAGGTGGGTGGGTGCTTTGACTGCTCCAGGGCTGAGGAAAGTGATAATTGTCTGTCTTGATTCTTCAAGACTGCAGCGCGTGCTGGTTACCTCCTGAATTTGTTCTTGCAAGGAACATTGTTTGCATCAAATAAAACAAATAAATGAAGTTTGGCACAAGCAGATGCACTGGGTCGTCTATAAACCCCTGTGATCTGCTGCAGTGTGAGGAGGGGAAAGGGGGTGGAGAAACCCCTGTTCTGCACCCCTTTGAGATTTGTCTCTTGCTGTTTGCTAAAGCAGCTGAGATTATCTAATTGTGCTGCACCTCTTCCCCGTCTAATTTCAAGCAGGCTTTAGGTAGGCCATTGTGGTGAAGATTCTGCACTCACAGAGCTTGCTTGCCAAATGCTTGGGGTTTTAATGGTGGGGTTTGCTTTCAGCATGAAAAAACGATATTTTCTCTCAACTGAATGGTTATGAGGGGAAGTGGCACCAAAAATGATTCTGAGAACTAGAGCTTTCCATCTCTACCTTTAGTTTGCTTGTAGCTTTATACTCCACTAATTTCCTTCAAGTACTTGCTGTAGTTTAAATTCCTTTAACTTTCTGTGCTGAAGTTAGTTTTCTTATTGTAAGCTAAAAGCTGGGGGTGCTTTCCACTGGCTGGGAACAAATTGAGAGAAGAAACTTGTTACAGGAAGGGTTTGAGTTTTGCCTTATTCCAACTGCTGCTTTGTTTTTTAACCTGACCTTTGAGCAAGTGTTACTTGGCATTTCCAGTGCTTTTTTGCTGTCACTGTCAAGCCTGCGACAGGCCCAAGCCTGCCTGTCCCGCTCGCGGCTGGAGAAGCACCAGGGCCGCGCAGCAACGTGGCTCCACGTTTGCTTTAACCCTAGCAAGGCTGCAAGGGCAAGTCCCCAAGGCATCTTGAAAATGTGTGCCCTGCAACATGGGTTTGGAACAGTATCAGTTGCTTTTTTGCCTTTGGAGCCAATGCAAGATAAATGCTCAACTCCCATCTTAAACTCACAGAAATAATAGGAATCTTTCCTTTGAACTCCCAAGCTCCAGGAGAACACACAGTTCTGGGTCTGCCTATTAGTTGTGCAGGGTCTTTGGTAGGATGCCTTGGTGTCTGGGGACTAGTTCCTGAAAAACATTAAAGCATTTGATTCATTAACTTGTGTTTTAGATCGCATGGAGTCGGGCGAGACCATGACGGGGGAGTTTCTCTATTCAGATGTGTGTAAAGCAGGTAGTGGTGAAAACTGCTCTTCAGTCATTCCTTCTGAGCGTGAGTATCTCTGTCTAATTCCTATGCCATACATGGAGGTTTTGCACTTTTTCTAGTGAAGCTCATTAAATTGAAACAAAAAAAAAAGAGGTCTTATGCAATCAGATCAGGGAACCAAGCTATCATGGCACTAATCAGCTTGAAACTGCTGCAGCTTCATTTAAACTGGTAACATTAATGACGTCTGGTACCTGAAGCATTCAAAATGGAGGAACTAGACCCAGACCATGCTTAGATAAAACACTGTCATAATCCTAAATTATCTGCTTTACCAATTTGAGGAGAAAGGGATCCAGTTTACTACTTTGCAAAGTTTATTATTTTCAAACATTAGCCTTTTAAGTGCAATCTCAGAGCATAACGTCCTGTGAAGGATGAAGCAGAACTTTGTCAGTGTTGTCCGCCCTGGTTAACCAAGGAAACCGTTTTTATAGTGTCAGGCAGTACTCCAAGTCCAAGTAGACAGGGTAGGTATGGCCTTCTGGGTGTGTGGGGGTTTTGGATTTTTGGTTTTTGATCAAGAACATGCACGTGAAATGAGACCCTAGTGTTGGTGATGCCCAAGTCTTTCCCCTTCAGTTGCTATTTTGCTTGAAGGATATTTCTGGATTGCACAGGGATTTGGGTCTGTCCAAGCCCATGGGAAGGGGGATCTACTTGTGAGCATATTTATCATGCTGTGAAAGTCATGAGACCTTTAACGGGGGAGTATGTGAGATTAAGGGATTCTAGCAAAACAGCAGAATCGGAGGCTTCCACCAAATGTTTGGGGGTCAGAAATAGCGTGTTACCTAAGTGCTCTTTCCCTAGGCAGAGCTATTAGCCCTTTGCAGCCCCGCAGCAGTGCAGGCTGCTGGGCACGAGGCCCCGAGCAGTCGGAGCGCTCCAGCTCGGCACGAGCAGGCGGCCGCTGAGCTGGCCCCCGAGCGCCCTCCACACAGCAGGGTCCCCAGCCCGAGCGGGCCCGAGCCCGCGGGATGCGAAGGGCCCCTTGGAGACGCCTGCTCCCGGGCTCCGCTCCGCACAGCTCCCACACGCGGCGGGCTCCCAGCGGGACAGCGGGAGCTGCTCGGAGCGCGCGGGCTCCTCAGCGTGCCTGTGCTTGCTGCGTTCGCAGAAGCCGTCGCCGAGGAGGCGGAGGAGGAGAACAAGGAGCATACGTGCGAGACGCTGCTCATGTGCATCGTCACGGTGCTGAGTCACGGGCTGCGCAGCGGGGGCGGCGTGGGGGACGTGCTCCGGAAGCCCTCCAAGGAGGTAAAGCCCCACGGCGCGCACGTGCGGCCCGCGCAGCAGCAGCGCCGGCGCCTTCCCCCTCTGCAGATCAGCTGCATCTCTGCAGCAGCCCGTGAAGCTGCGGGCTGCCCAAGCAAGACCCTGCAGCTCCTTATCTTTATAGTGAAACAGGTTTTTTTAGCTGAAGGACTGTCCAAAGTGGGGCCTGGATGAGCCAGATGTTACAGCCAGCAGGCTGCACTTTGCAGGTGTAGCCCAGAAGAGCTTCCTCTGGGAAGCAAGAGAGTCCTTCCCTCAGGAAGGAAGGACTTTGCTTGGAGCCCTTGTTGTGGCACAGCTGAAGCAGTGAGACCTTCCCCTTCACGCCTTGCAGCTGGGAACAACGTCCTGCTCAGTCCCCCCTTCACTGCCCCTCTGCCAGTGGCTCGGGGGCTGCTTTGCTTGCCCCAAGCAGGAGGTTGAGCAGTACATGTGGCCTGCAGCTTCAAGCTGTTCTGTAAAATGTGGCCTGATTTCTCTTAAGATGATTTAAAAGTTGCATAATTCCTGAAAGAACTTTGGCAAAATGGGACTTAGGCGCATGGGCCTCTAGTGACTGAAATGGTCTCTGCTGAGGGCAGCCAAGCTTCAGGTCTCATCTGAGAGGATACATGGCTGTTAATATAAATGAATTAATGTACTATGAAATTCCAGTCAAAGACTGTAGGCAGTACTGAGCTGTGTGGACATACAAGCAGATTAACAAGGGGTTACAATGAGGAGCAGCCTGCAGGGAGGAGATATGGGAAGAGCTCATTTCTGTGTTGGAGGAAGAAGGACTTGTAGGTGGCCACCAAAAAACAACTTCACAGTGGCTGTGTACTCTCAGCTACCTAATTTGACTCCTTGTTTGAGTTTCATTCCATGTTTTGAGTCCTAGGTTATCACTGGAAAGCATCAGAAACAGCGACTCAAGGCAGACTGGGGGTGGCACATGTGGTTCTTGTGAGGAAGGAAGTCTGAGGTGTTTGAGTTGCTAAACGTTAAACTCTGTCTTGCAGGAGCCTCTCTTTGCTGCCAGGGTGATATACGACCTCTTATTCTTCTTCATGGTCATCATTATTGTTCTTAACCTGATTTTTGGTGTCATCATTGACACTTTCGCTGATTTAAGGAGCGAAAAGCAGAAGAAAGAAGAAATTTTAAAAACCACGTGCTTTATTTGTGGTAAGTGTAGGAATGTGCCCTTAAGGACTGGGCAGGATGCTGCAGCGCACCCAAGCAGCAGGGGTTTTAGGAGAAGGAGTCCTGAGTTACTGGCTGTTCTGTGGCATTTCTCAACCAGCTGATATTCTCGGGGATCATCTGTAGGAACTTGGCAGGGAAGAGAGAGAACAGGTTTGTTCTCAGCGCACCATTTTTCTTCAAATCCTTAGATTCTCCTGTGTGTGAGAAGAGCTCCATAGTGGAGCAGGAGAGGGTTTATAAGCAGATGAAGGCCATGAGGGTGCGGAGCAGTGAGCCAAGCGTGGGGCCTGCACGGCTAGCGTGCTCAGGTGACACGGTGGCACGGAGTTACATAACACTCGTGCTGCCACAAGTAGCTTTGCAGGCTTGCTGCAAAGCACGTGTTGCATTTCGGTTCCATTATGCCTGGAAGTAGGAAATGAGTCAGGAAATCCAAAAGATTGGCTACCTACTTATTAGGTGGCCACTTTTTGGTCAAGAAAGGTTTTCCATTAGGTGCAATAAAGGTAACCACTGCCCCTAATGCCGCTTTTTTTCTCTCCTTTTCCCACTGCTTTGTGACCATTTCTTACGGACTTTCATTGCTATTATCCAGAGTTCATTTCAGAATGACCTCTGACTGTAGAGAAGCACAAGATGCCACCAAACAAGTTTGTTCATAGGACTGAACAACTCTCTACAAGTGCTAAGGATCGTGTCTGTGTCACTCTTGCAGGTCTGGAAAGAGATAAGTTTGACAACAAGACAGTCACTTTTGAAGAGCATATTAAAGAAGAGCACAATATGTGGCACTACTTGTGTTTTATTGTGTTAGTAAAAGTAAAGGATTCGACGGAATATACGGGACCGGAAAGCTACGTGGCAGAAATGATCAAGGTGAGTTTGGGGGGTGGTGGTGGGAGTAGGAGGGTGGTTCTTGTTTTGTTATCTTTTCCCCTTAAACTAGACTGATCTGCTGGGCTACTTGCTTGGTAAATACAGCGCTTGTGGGAGAGACTGTGGAGCCTCTGCAGATGGAGCGGGAGCCTCCAGGGACCTGGACCGGTCCTGGAGGATGAAAAGGTTGCTCTGTCCTCAAAGCTGCTGTGCTGCAGCTCGAGAGGGAGCATTTCCAGGCCAGTAGATGAAGTATGAAGTGCAGGTTATAACCTGTCCCAGGATAAATACCTTAAACTGACTGTGAAGATTTGTTGTCATAAGATTTTAGCTTATTGCTGTAAGAAACTCCAATTAGTATCTGCTCAATGGTGAAGCCTTGTGATGAGAGAATTAGGAGGCTTGTGTGCCAAATGGCAGGTTCAGAGCTCCTGGAATTAGACCCTTTGTTTCCAAACCCCAGTTACTAATTTGTGTCTGCTGGCTGGGTAGCAAAAGCTCTCTTCTGACTTAGAGCATTTCAATTAGTTATTTCTCTATTTGCTTTCAGCCTCAGGAACTATACTCATGTAAAAAGCAGAATACTTAATGTCTTATATCTGACTTTTTTTCACTGTGGAGGTGCAGCAGACCTCTATGGGGGCAATTTGTCTTGACCTGCTCAGAATGTAAATCCCCCTGAGACCTCGTAGAGGTTGAACATGTTACTTCGGGGTCACTGAAGTGCTCGCCCTGGTTCTGGATTTCTGCCTCTGTAATGAGGGCTTAAGGAAATCTTGTGAACAGTCACCTGACAGAGGATTAGCGCGGGGAGACAGCCAAGTGCATCGCTGCTGCGCTCTGCACAACTCGATGAGACTGCTGCCTGGTTTATCCCCCATGGAAGTGCTGCTGGGAGAGGCGGGATCGCCCACTGCTCCAGTGCTGCTGCTTGTGCAGGGGGGTTTGTGCTGTGCTCAAACTTGGTTAAAAAAAATGACTCAAATTAGCTAACAACATCTTAATTATAACTTCAGATTAGTAGTTCCAATTAGATAGGAAACAAAGCACAGCCTTGGAACGTGATTGCAGGAAACGTGGGAAGTGGGAACCTGTGCCAGAAGTGCAGGATTCCCGCTCGTGGAGCTGGCACCAGTGTGTCCAGGGGGCCAGGCAGGAGCTGTGCACAGGCCAAGGGTCTCTTGCAGGTGCCCTCTTACACAGCGGAGCATTTCAGGTGGGGGTTTCCCTGTGTCTCGTAGCTGTTGCTCCTCAGGAGGCAGCTCTGGGAGCTCACAGGGGTGCCCAGCCGTGCTGCACAGGGCAGGACAGCGTGGCGTGACAGGCCCCGCAGCTCAGATCCTCCTCAAGACCCATCTGGCAAATGTTCCTCTGAAACCCCGCAGCGGTTTCTTTCCATTGCCCTTTGATACTAGAAACCTTCTCTTGCTCTTTTCTGCCTCAGAAGATCTGAACTGAAAATACTTTAGATCTGTTTCTGCACCAGACCTGTTCTAAAGTCTTCAATAGGAGTCAGAAGATCTGTCTTCTGCTTGAGGTGATCTAGGAATTGTTCAGTGCATGGTTCAGGTTTGATTCACATCATCTTGTCTTCATTCCATAAACAAAATTGTAAGTAAAAGCTGAAGGAAAGCCTGAATGCATCACTGGTCCCAGTATTTCAGGTTCCCTCACTGGATTTATTGGGTGTTTTCTCTGTTTGCATGGAGCAAGAGGGAACCTGTGGTTGCTCAGTGCCTGCAGCTGCCTCGCTCCTCCAAAGCCCAGTTATTTTGCTCAGCTTTAAAGGGATTTTTCCGACTCAAGGTGGCACTGTAACATCTTTGGTAGTGACACAGATGGGGCAGCTGGGCAGCTCTTTCTCCATCGCCTGTTATGCAGCACCGTTGCTCAAGGAAAATAGAGACACGTTTTAATAGTTACGGGTAGGAAGCATCATGTGCTCTAGATCATGCTGTGATTATAAAAGGCACCTCAGTTATGCTTCACCTTACTCTGACTCCCAGCAGAATATCTGTAGAAACCTCCTGAACTTCTGCCTTTTGGCAGCAATCAAAATTTGTATTTTTTCCACAAACATCACAGAACAGTTGAAACAGAAGTTAGGATACTGAAATTATATTCAATATCAGCTTGAGAGTTGCCTCCAGTGCTTTAAAAATATTTAGGTACTTTGATATCAAGTGAAACTGTCCACATTTTTTGTGTTAGTGAATATTCACAGGCATTAAGAATGATATTCAAATCTAATCTTTTCTTGTCGAACTATAGTGTGTGCAGAGAGGTGATTTTTAGGCAACCCCATGCTGTACTGAATGAAGCAGAGCCAAATCTTGCTCATGAAGTGCAGCCTGCAGGACTCTGATCCAGCATAAAAAGAAACTAGCCATGAAAATTGACGATTAATTACAATTTAGTGCCTTTGTAGTTCTTCAAGGATAGAGGCTAATGAATGAATGTCAGGGTGCACAGAAAAGTCAATAAGTAAACTTTGAAACCAAGTTTAAGGTTTAATCCTCCTCAACAGCAAAAGACAACAGTGATCTGGCAAAACCTAACCTACCATATCTCTGTTCTCAAGTTTGCTTCCATAAAATTTCTGGCCTGGGAGAAAAATATGGGTCTGTCTTAGTTGTTTGTAGTTCTCAAGATATTTTTGTTGAATAGTAGTTTGTTGTTTTGGTTTTTTTTTTGTGGAATTCCCATTTGTTTGTTCACTGTAACATTGGAACCATGCTAATGTTGTCCTGTCCTTGCACGGTTTTGGTAGGGAGGTGAACAGGTGATGTCTGGCTCCAAGTCTGTGAGACATCCTGATATTCCTAGTTAGGCATTGCTAGGGAAAGGCAAGGGGAAAAGTGGAATTGCTGGCTCTGTTTGATGTGAAAGGGACGCTTATCCACGCCCTGGCTGTTCAAGTGAATCATCTGCTCTCTTGAAGTTCCTACCAGTGCTTCCAAGGTTGATAACTTTATGGATCTGGGGAGATGATAAACAGCTTCACATGAAGCAGGTTACCTTCCAAGAGCTTTCTTGAATGATCTTATGTATTTAATTATCAAAGAAAGAACCATAAGAAAAGAGGAAGCAGCTAGTGATACTAGAACTGGCCTTTAATTCCTGGTGTTAATCAAGGCCTTCCGATGACCTAGCACATGTGCATCTAGCTGAGCCGCTGCAGATGCTCGTCTAAGATAGCGAGGCTTCAGGATGGATCGATGCCTTCAGAGGAGGTTCCTGTGGGAGCTTTGCTGATGGCGCTGCGGGCCGGCGCTCGGGTTTCCCAGGAACAAAGGCGTGTGGCTCGGTTGCTATATTGCTTTGTAGTCACCAGGGAAGATCAGGTGATGTCTGAATAATGCTGTGTGTGTGGGAGGTGGGGGGATCCACTTATCGTGTTGGCCAGACACCGACATCCACACCCAAATGACTAATGTGAACTCGGTGCAACTCCCTACAGATTAATTCATTTAAATGCCTTCTCTGCCCATCCTCGCAGGCGTGTGCGCTCGCTCCCAAGGTCTCCGCGGTGGCCGCGGGGCGCTGCAGCAGGCCGGCCTGCAGGCGTCTTGCCGGCCGTGCAGGAGGCGACAGGTCGTGTCCGTGCTGGGAATTGGCCTGTCCACCCGTGGGGGCCGCTCCGCACACGGAGCGCTCGGCAGGCGGCTTCCCAGCCGGTGCTCCGCTTCCCGCGGCTCTGCGGCCTCGTGCTGCGCCCGGGGCACGTCGCACAGCCTCCCGTGTTGCAAAAGGGAGGCAGCGCAGGGTGAGGGATTGCCCAAGCTCACGTGTCCTCAGCTGCAGCTCTCGCTCCCACGTCTTAAGGTGGGTTGTGTCACCCTCAGAAAATAAGCCATCCATATAGGGAAGGGACGGTGCAGGTTCTCTTAGAGCACCTGGAAAGGAAATGAAGACTTAAAGGTTTTCTTTCATGCCCAAATTTACTTCTTCATACAAACCAGACATCATGCTAGCTGTCACAGTGCTCCTGTTTGCTTTTTGAGCAAAGTGCCATAGCAGAGGTGGAAAATATTGGCTGTTTCTACTCTCTGGTTATTCAATGTGGCCCTTCTGCCAGGTCCCTGGTAAGCAAAGCCCGTGTTTCACCGGTCTTGTGAGCTTTGAAACGTGCCTCCTTCCCAAAGCACATGGCTGACTTGAAAGGAATTCCATCGGGATTAAGCTCCCTGCTGGGCTGCCGCGTGCTCCGCAGCACGTGTGTGATGCTCAGCGGCAGCAGCGGCCTCGAGGGACTCCGGCTTCCCCAGACCCGGCTCAGCAAAACTCCATCCGTGGTGGCCGGGCAGGGGAGCTAAACCAAGGCACCGACAGCGATGACAAGTGGCAGGCCAGGATGCTTCCCTAAAGTGTTTGGATGGGGACTTAGTGATGTCAGCGTTGGAGAAAGATATGGAAATGACTGCGCTTGCAGTTTGTGGAAAATATTAGAAACTTGGTTACATGCATGTATAATTGGTGCCTGGAAATCCTGCAGTTTTGGACAAAATCACCTGCTAAACAAGCAGCACCTTGCGATACCTGAGTTGGCCAGCACAGTTATGGGGTTAAAGACTAGGTGATGGCAGAGGCGAGTGAAGGGATGGGTTTGGCTGTCTGAAACGCAGTGTCCCAGCCCTGCTCCAGAGCCAGGATGCAGCTCTGGAGCTGCCTGCACAGAGGGGCCAGGCATCTGGATGCTCCCTGTGTGGTTCCCCTGGGGCTGCCTGCAGCGGGAGGCTCTGCAGCCCGTTTGGACCAAGCACCAGCTGCCGGTGCTGGCCTGGGAGACCACGCTGGGATTTCCCTGAGCAGCCCCTTGGTGCACAACCTGGTGCAGGGCTTTTTCCAGGGAAAGGGAGAAAGCGGCAGGAACAGCCGTGTCCCATCAGTCTTGCCTGGGGCCGGGCGCTAGGCACAGCCCCGTGCACTCGGTGCCACGGTGGCCACCGAGCCCTTTCTTAGAATAAACCTTTGGCAGAAGCGAGGCAGAGCGGGCGCTTCTCAGAATGAATCGCATCTGCATCACGCAGCGCCACTTCCTCTTTTTTTTCTTTAATTTCCAATCATGGACATTTTTGAGAGGCTGGTCAACATCGCCCCCGTGTCTGAGATTTAATGATACTTGCTTTGCGAGAGGGACTTTTCCAACTTTACCTGGAAGAGCGCTAACCCGAAAGGCTGCGCTCGTGGTTAGCCGGCTTCCGCCGGCGGCTGCGCCCGCTCCGTCTGCTCGCGCGGAGGAAGCGGCCGTGGTGCCGGGAAGCGGCAGCCCAGGGCGCGCGGGATGCGGCTCCGGCCGGCGCTCCGGCCGCTTCCCGGCGCTCGCGGGCTCCCCTTCCCACTGCTGCAGCCCCCGCGTGGATCCCCCTGCAGCTGCCCTGGCCGGAGGGTCAGGAGCTGCCCTGGCTGCGCGGAGCAGCCGCGATGCCCCCGCGCCGCCCGCGGCCTCCGGCCCCCGCGTGAGTCACGTCCGCGGCGCACGAGACTTTTATGGAAGCAGCGAGTCTCGTTTCCTTTTCGGCAGCCTTCTCCTTTCGCGGCCCTCCGCATTTGCACGATCGTTGGTATTTTTGATCTTTCTGCACTGCCATGAGAACTAGAGAGGCACTTTTTGTTTATTTTTCCTGAGGTGAAAGCCAAGATTTCCCAGCCCCCACAGCCTCCCAGAGCAGGGACTTCTATGCAGCTGCTGGACATGAAACTCCTGGCAAAGCTGCCCAAGCCAGGGCTGCTGCTGCAGGCACCACTGTGCCCCACAGCAGCTCACACAGCTGCTTGTGCTGCCAGGTGGCATCAGAAGGTACCAGGCTGAGGTCCTGGGAACACCTGAGAAGTTTCCCTGTTTGGGGAAAAGTAAAATAGAAGCATTTCCATAGTGAGGCCTGGGCTGGAGCAGGGCAGGAGCTTCAGAGCTCTGGGTTGCGTCCACATAGGAGCTCAAGCATGAGGAAGAGGGCATTTTAGCCTGATGACGTTTCAGTCTCGCTTGCTTGGTCTTTGAAGCTGCTTGGTCACCGGGAGCAGTTTCGGTTTGTCTTGCCTGGGGGAGACCTGAGCCCGGAGCTGTCCGCGGGCACCGCCATCCAGCACTGCTTGTGGGACCCTCTCTCCCTTATCTCCAAAATGTGCATGAGCAAAACCCAACCTGCACCCCCCAAAACTCCTCTATCTGCAAACTCTAACTCACAAGCACAAACTTTGCTTGACCCAAAACGTCAAATCAACTTGTCAGCAGAAAATCTCCAGCAAAGACACCTGGAAAGCTGGGACCTGTGGCGCTGGAATTGCATCTTGTCTGTTCAATGCCATGAGAAGCTCTGAAATCATTCTCCATTGGGGTGTTCTTTAATAAAACCAGGGCACATATACAGCTTCTGGATTTCTGAAATGCTTGATTTTTTTTCCCCCTTGTGACATAGACTTGGGCTTAAACCTTTCATTGGACTTAAAGCTGTTCAAGAAAAAGCAAATATTCTGACAGGCTTATCCCAAGCCATTTGCTACCTGATTCTGTGTACCAGACTCCTAGTGCTCCAACATGCTTGTCAAGACATCAGATCTGGGCTATTTTATTGTGCAGTGTTCATGTATTACGCTGAAACATGTCTTAAAACAAGAAAAGGCAGCTGGAGAGAATGAGCTGCTAGGAAAGGAAAAGCCAGCAACAAGAAGCTTTAATTTTCTGCAGTTACGTCTGAAGTGCCTCATTGCCTCTAGTGGGCAATTTTGCAAACTTTCCAGTAAGATGCAAATAAAACTACCACAAAGCTTGCGTAGTTGAAGAATGTCCCAGTGTAGCACTGAAGATTTCTCTGCGCTCGCATACAGGTTTTTCTCTAGCAAACACCAATTATTGGCTTGTGTCTGCTTTTCAGGAGAGAAACCTGGACTGGTTCCCCCGGATGCGAGCCATGTCGCTGGTGAGCAGCGACTCGGAAGGAGAGCAGAACGAGCTGAGGAACCTGCAGGAGAAGCTGGAGTCCACCATGAAGCTGGTGACCAATCTCTCTGGGCAGCTGTCAGAGCTGAAAGATCAGGTAAGGGCGCCGTGCCTGGGAATGCGCCGTCACGTGCTGACGCCGCGCGGTGCAAAGGTCTTTCCAGCCTCTTTTACATGCTGGTGTTTACAGCCCCACGGAGCCTGCAAACGATACTCAGAGCCTTTCTGAAGCAGCCACTTCTAGGGAAGAAAAGTCAGCAAACAGAACATCCCTATCCCCTGCCCCAGAGCCCCGCACCAGTGTTGAGCTGCCGGTCAGTGCCAGCTGAACCAAAATACTCCAAATTGGCCACCTCTCGAGCACAAAACTTTGCATAAAAGAAAGTTGAAGTTAACGTAAAACTTGATAGGTGGGGGGTATGTGGAGGTATATATCTTTGGGTTTGTCATAGCTTTTTTTAACCCTAGCGTGAATCAGAGGGTGTGATGTTGATAGTGCTGTGCTGCGGCTTGGACCTCAAAAACCCCTGGAGAGCCCGGATAAATGTGAGCAGTTACTTTGCACCAATGTCTGCTATAGGCACCTGTTTGCTAGTGCAGGTACAACTTAGCTGCCCTCTCACTTTAGCCTGCAGCACAGACATACCCACAGGAATATTACGCTTTGTGCTGTTTTGCTTCTGCTTAACAAACACACTAGGGAGAGAAAGCTTTGGTTTGGGTGGGTTTTTTGTTTTTACTTTTTAAATGCAGCAGGTCTTGCTGCTGTAAGAGCTTGAGGACTCACGCTAACTTTGTTTTGGTCCAGCTCTTCCCTGTGCGTAGTTAAGATCAACAGCTTTAAGCAGGTTGTGCTTTATTCTTTTCTGGGAGAGGCTAGCAAGATTGTGCTTGTGATACATGGAGGTGGAATAATAGCAGACCAGAAAACTGCCGTTTGAGAATTCACCACTAGTACGGTTTATGCCTCCTTGTACTTGGTGTTTTGGACCGAAGGCTCGTGCGTGGCGGAGCGCCCTGGAGCTGAGCTCAGCGGAGCCCCCACGTCCCGGCGCTGTCGGGGTGCTCCCCGTGGCGCTGCCCTGCGGCCGTCCCGGGGCCGAGCCCCGCGGCGCGCGTGGAGCCGGGGCCGCCGTTCCCCAGCCTGGCAGCCGTGGGGCAGGTGGCTCCCGCCGGCAGCCCCAGCCTGCTCGGGGCTCTTGGGGCTGCTTCCCAGCCCCAGCTCAGCGAGGGGGTGGAGAAGCACCCAGGGCTCGGTTCGGCGCTGCCCATGGGGCCTGCGGCCCAGCTGGAAGCCAAGGGGAAGACGTGGCCACCTGCCCTGCAAGCTCTTTGCAGCAGGAAGGCACCTGGTCGTGTATCTTTATGGATTAATAACCTAGGCCAGGTGGTTAATTAGCCCAGTTTGCATATCTAGCCCCTTGGATGAATGTGATTGCAGAATAGCTGGCACAGCTGCCCTCGGTGCTAACCCGATTCCTGCCTCCTATCCCTCCTCCTTCGACCTGCTTTCTGTGCAGGTTTAGCTTTTTGAAGTCCCGGCAAGGTGGTATCGACTGAGGCCCCGAAGCGCTCTGGCTTCCAGTGGTGCTCTGCTTTTCTGATAGACTTGGGCCCTCTTACCTGGTACCCTGCGGAGCACAGGAGCTGATTAGAAGTGCAGGACTGAGAACAGGAAATCTTGCTGCTCTTGGCTGTAATTGATTTTTGGATGCTGTGCTGTGGACTTGCTCACTTCAGCTGCTTTAGAGAGCTGAGGGTAGAAGCAGTTGCTCCTTTATTTCTGCTTCAATATTGGCTGTGCAGCATTTTTGCTATTTTGCCTGGAAATAATTATCTTAGAGCATGTCTTGCGTCTTCCTGTTGAAGGGTCTGACTCAAAAGTGGTCGGCAGTCACCAGGAGTCTTTCCATGCACTCCAGCCAGCCTTGGATCTGAGCACATTTGCTTCTGAAGCTTGCAGTAGTCGGCTGATGAAACACTAAAAAAACACTTGTGCTTTCTGAAAATAAGAATGAAGGATTTAGTTTTTAGAGAGCTATTTGACTGTAAAAGCAAAAGAGGAAACCAGCTTCGTTAATGTTGTGATCACTTTTAGGAATTCCCCTAAGTGCTGTTGAGCGAGCCCTGGTTAAGTTGCAGGATGCTCCGGTTGGGTGACACAACCCGTGTATCCCTCGCCTGATCGAGAGCTGCCTCTAGGAAAAGGAACCAACTTGGGGAACTTTGCTTTGCATCTACCTGTAACTAGATGCAGGGAAAGTCTCTCCTTTGGGTGTTCTTCAAGCTCATTAGTTTTCTGAAGACTGTGGTTGTTAAAAACTGCCTTCTTTCACCAAAAAAAGTCAGCAGAAGGTATTAAAATCTTTATCGCTCCAATTCTGTGCAAAAAGGTGACAACAAAGCTGCCTGCAGCAGCAGGGTTGGCTCTCATCACCACAGGCCGTCCCAGGGCCGTGTCCCGGTGCCGGTAACTGAGATGCATTTGGAATAGGAAGGCTGCTGCTCTTTGAAGGCTCCCTGCCGGCGGCCGGGGACCCTTGGCCTCCCCGACCACAGCCCTGACTCGCTCCGGCGCCCGGGCTTCCCCTGCGGAGCGGCCGCGGGCCTTGTGCACAGCCAGGATCCTGATCATGCCTGTGGCACATGCCTGGCGCTCCTCTCCGGAGCCGATTCCAACTCACAAGCAACCTTTGAAACCAGGCAGAGTGCGCCGGTGTAATTATACACGACTATCTGAGAGTCCAGCTTGGCTCAGCTGAACTTCAGGCCCCTTGGTTTTGTTTTTGTTTTCTTTAATGCTCTCGGCGTCGCTCACCTGCGATGGGGCCGCTCCCGCAGTGGCTTTGGCTGCGGGGCCGGTGCAGCTAGCAGGCTCTGCAGGAGGTTCTCCCCCTGCTTAAATGTGGTCAAGACTAAAACCGTTCCCTCTCGTAGGCCTTGCCTCCCGCACAAGAATTGCACACCTCCCAGTACTAATTGCAGTCTGTTTGTTGCATTTCTCTCAGCTTCAGTTTTTTTCTTTTTAAAAAGGCAATTCTCCTGCAAGCATCCTTTTTTTTTTTGATTTTGAGGAATGCAAACTCTTTCAAACATAAATACCTATTGCAGTCTTTTTCTCACTTCTTTATTTGAGTTCTCTGAAATAGTCTGTTAGTTTTGTCCAATTGTGGTTCTTAATTTGTCCAGAGACACTCATTCACATAAACAGGCATTTCCCAAGTGAAGTATTTGCTGTCTCTGTGTGCTTCCAGTTTGAGGGCTATTTTAAAAATAGGAAAAGGGAAACATCCAGCTGATAGAGCAGAGGGGTGGCTGTTATCATGAGCGTGTCAGTAAAGCAGGGAGGTGCAAAGACTCCCCTCTTTCTGCTACTTACCCTCTTTTGCCAACTGATCTCTGCAAGGCTCTTTGAGAAGACGTGCAAGAGGGCTGTAAAGGAGAACGTGGAGTATGACCTGTCCTTGTGGGACAGTTTTCTTAAGTAACCTAGCAGTTCTGCCTCCCCTCTGGTGACGTGTTGGGCAAGGCAGCAGGCTGTAATCCAGCGTAATTATGGTTTCGAGAGGAATACTGGATTCAAGCCCTTTCCCTGGGGATCGGCTGAGCGTGGTGGTCTGTTCCTGTTGTACTTGCGCGGGTGGCGCTCATGGTGTGCACAGAGCTGGGGGGAAATGGGGAGACTTCTGAATATCCCCCGGAAAGGAGGGGGATTTCTTCACCATCTCTCAAATGTGACCTTTTATTGTATGGGAATTTGCTTTATTTAAGTTTCCAAACCTTGGAAAGTATTTAACAAGAAAGAGAACAGAGAAAGGAATGAATTAGGGTCATTTTTCAATATCACAGTAATAAAAGATGATCTGTTTTCAAGTTGTAATGGCACCAACCTACTTGGTGGCGCCAAACATTTTTATAATGGCACCAACATTATTTTATCTGTTGGGAAGTATTGACAAAGATTTGTCTTTCTGGCACTAAGGTTATGGAAAGTAGTTGGACTTACATCACTGCTTTGCACTTTGGCTCTGGCAAATCTAGAGGGATGATTGCTGTCCTCTGAAAGCGTTGGAGTGTTCCAGTCTATTCCGGCAAACAAGAGTATTCCCAACTTGACTTGAGGGCTCTCCTTTTTTTTCCTCCTTTAGCCAGTTTTGTATGTTGGATGAGCTACAAAGAATTGTCAGCAGGAGGTTTCTGTATGTTACTCTGTATTAATTCCTGCCAGCCATTTGGTTCTCATGATCTGTTTTCTTGCAAAACAGTAGCCAGTCACACGAGCAAGTTCACAGATTTCCCTGATGAGTTCACACAGCAGGTTTGGAGTTGCCTTTTTAATCTATTAGCGCTTGGCATAGCAAGCAGAAGAGGAACATTATTGTAGAAAGTGGATTTCGGAGTAAACCCTAACCACGGAATGCAGCGATGGTTCATTCTGCAGGCTGACGTACAGGAAGTGTCTAGGCCTAATGAGCAAACTTTTTAATTTTCCAGATGACAGAACAGAGGAAGCAGAAACAGCGCATTGGTCTCCTAGGACACCCTCCTCCCATGAATGTGAACCCACAGCAACCAGCATAAAGGAGAAGGGGTCACTTCTCCCTCTTGCAACCATAGGAATAATGCGAAACCAGAGTTCAGATTCAACCACCGAGGCTGCTTCTGTGTATGTTTAGTTCATTTTGTAAATACCATGTTTTTATACTATATGTATATGACTGCTACTATATAAAGTTTGGGGCATATGTATTGTAATTAGAACTGCTGGCACACGATGGAGGTTGTACTTGTGCCAAAACTTATCAAAATTGCCTTTTTATCGGAAGGACTAAAGAGAGCACCTGAATTGCACTTGAAAAGAATATTTGACTATGTGACATGTATTTTGTATTTAAAAAAAAATAGAGTAGCTAGTATTTATGTTTTTATACAATTGTGCAATATGAATTATGCAATCACAATATATTTGTAACTCCTGAATGTCCTAAAGGGAGTGCACATCTTTGAATCTGGTGTGTTAGTACAATGTAATAAATGGTATAAAATTACAGATGTAAATGAGGCTGCTGCAAAATAGTGTTACTGGTGATTTTTCATACCCCTGGACATTTTTGTACCATGTGTGTAAATATCCTGCGATGCCATATCTGTTGCCTCTTCCTCCCAGAAACAACTCTGGGAACTCACGAGCTGTTAAATTGGTATCAATTAAGGCAAAACATTACTTTGAAGCTTCCAAATCAGGAAAGCAGGAGGTATTTTTCAAGTGTTTTCCTCAAAATACTGAGGCTAGAAGAGCTCAGATACTGGGTTTTTTAAATGGTAAAATTTCTTAAAGGGAACTTTTTATGCAAAATAAGTGTTCGGGATGAGTTTGCACCACTGGTCAATCAGTGCAGTCTCCTACAGGTGTTTTGTGCCGTGACACTTAGAAACCTATTCCGAGGCTGTCCAGGCTCTGCCTGCTCAGTGTAGGACTCCTCCCTTTTATTTTTTCATTAGAAACCTATGTGCCTGCTCGAGTTTGAACAAACAGGCGTTGCACCAATTGAAATATGAACTATCCCATTAGGACTGTAGTTGAGCACTGATGTATGTAATACTTGTGAGAGAACCACTTGTTTTGAGATTTTTGTCCCTCTTCTTTCTCTCCCTCTCCATTTGGGCACTCTTTCTTTGGTTTCTGCTTCCAGAGAGTAGGAGAGGAACCTTTTTTTCCCCCCTTTTCCTCCCCCTTTCCCCTCCAATCCATTGCGTAGTTTTATACATGGACCTCATTTTACAAAAGCTAATTTCTCTGCAATACTGTCTACAAAAAGAAAAAAAAAGCTACAGAGCTATGAAAAATTTGTAAATGCATAAATATAGGTATTTAAATAAATGATGCAAAATACTCTACAGCGAGAGGCTGCTGGTGGTCTGTGCACGGCGCGGTGCTGCTCCGGGCCGTGGCCCCTGCCCGCCGGCGCCGCGGATCTCGCACGTGGAGGCTCCTGCCCTTCCCTGCCGCCTCCGGAGCCCGGGGAGGGGCAAGAGGTGGGTCTGTTATCAGCCAGCGCTCCCCTGATAACGGAGAGCACGATTGCCCTGGCGAGAGAGCGGGTTCGGATGCTTCGGCCTGTCTGATGCCGGCCTGGGTGAGAGTTTGAAAGCTGCTCCAGTTTGAGGTGCTGCGTGCTCGGGAGCATTGGCCGATTATGTGTATTTGAATAAGAAGTATCAGGAACTACCTGGTACCATTAATCATCCTTAATCTGATAAGTGTGTGCAACTGTCTGAACAGGGTGGGTCTCGCTACTGTAGGTCACTGCAGAGTGTCGGATGGACTGTGTCCTCAGGGGGCAGGGAGTCCGGGCGCCGGGGAGCCGAGGGCAATCCTGCACCCACTCCACGCACCGTTTCCAGAACATGTCCCGCTGCATCTGTCCTGTCACCTCCCCGGCCGCTGGCTCCCAGCAAGGGGTTTGCATAGGAAACGTGACGGATGTGCCTGCTGTCAAGAGTTGTGCAATAAAAGGAGACGGATTTCATTTTCTCTGAGTAGTGGAGACACGTCTGACTCATTTCTTCCCTTCCATCCATTTGGGAACAAACAGCCGCTCGGCTCTGCCGGGCAGCCTGGTTCCCCTCCCGTCAGGTGAGAGGGAGGAGGTGCTGCGTGGCGATGCCGGAGGCAGCCGCTTCGGGAAGGCACCTCTGCAAGGTGCAGGTAGGCGACAGCGCTCCACGGTCACCTAAAAAGGCAAAATGCAGGGCCAGCAAGAAGTGCAAACCCCAATCCGGTGTGAAAATCAGCCTCATAATATTTTACTGGTATTTCCACATGTGATTGTCTTTTTCCAGATATGGTATGATGCAAGAAGTGATCTATTTGTGTGTATTATTTTTTTCTCCCTTCTGCGATACAGCTGCAGCACTGGGAGTGAAGTGAAGCAAAACCCCCTCCTGACGCCCGAGCTGTGGCCAGGGCAGGTGGCGGCTGCTGCCGGGTTCACCTGCCACGGGACAGGGCGAGTTCACCCGGTGGCTACGAGAGGGTTAACGTGGCCATTCCTTTCCCTTCCCTGCTGAGTGTCTTGGGTGTAGCCTGTAATCGCTTCTGGGGAAGAGAGGAAGGCTGCTCCTTCCTCCCATCCGTCAGCAAACACATGCCATTCGCTTCTGGAAACTTGTTACTACAGTGAAACAACACGCATAACAACCATAGGTATTTCACTTTTTTTCTTCTTGCCTTGTTTCCCAAGGCCACCAACAGTTTGTGTTTTCTGCCCCCTAAAATTCCTTCATCACGCTGCAACTATTTGATTTACCATTTGTTTCCATAAATGCTGAAAGTGTAGTTGCTGTACAGTACAATTTGGCATTCTGCTCTTGTAGCCATCTCCCCAGCAGCTCCCCTGAGTGCTTAGTGGAGTCAGCTTAGGCCTCTTTGATTTTTCTTCTTTCTTTTTAGTTCATGGTTTGCTTTAGGTGGCGTTTCCCGAACTCCCCCTGCGTGTCGTGGCAGGGGAGGAATCTTTCGGCTTGCACAGTTTTTGACCTTGCAACTATTGAAGTTAATGCTTGTGTAAGGGATTTTCAGATTTTTGACTGAGATCGTGTGCACTATGTCAATTTGTAATAGGTCTCGAGGAAGCTCTAGGAGGAATCTGTATTTAAATGCCACACTTGCTCTTTTCTACAAAAGCTGAATAGCTCTTAAAGCCACAAAAGAGCTTTATTCACAACTTGTGGACTCTAAGCAAAGAATTATTGAATTAGAACCTATAATTATTACTTTCTGAAAGTTATCCTTTGGTGAAAGTTATCCTCCTTGGAGGTTAAGTGATACTTCTTGAGACATGTCCGTCTCTGCAGAGCTGGGTTTTCTGTGTGTTTGTTTGTTTTTGTAGAAGTAGTTCTTAGAGATACCGAGATTGAACCTGGCATGTGGAATCCTTCCTTCCTAAGTGGTGAGTTTGGTGTGTCCTGTGAAGTCAGTGGAATAACTACGAATGTCAAAAGACAACTTGAGGGAACAAAGCCAGATGTCCAGGGGAAAGTAGAAAGGATTATGAGATTTGGAAAACGTGATTCATTAGGAATTTAAACTGTGTAGTCTGGAAAAGAGGACTGAGAAAGGAAATAACCCTTCCGATTCGTTATCAGAGAGAACACGATGGCAGTTTGTTCTTAGTCTTCCCTGTGGATATAAGGGGAATAAGCTGTTCAGTTTGGAGCCTGGAGATTTAGGTCCTATAATGCAGAAAACTTTTTGTGACCAATAAAATTAATGATTGAGTGACCCTTGCAGATGGGAGTCAGTTTAAGACTTAGATTAAAACTTCAGAGTTTATGCCTCTGTCTTGCATGCATCTCACATTTCTTAGTTTGGGGGAAAAAAAAGATTTTTTTTAAAGCAGGATTCCAGTATTTTAAAGTTTGGGAATATGATTATTTAGGCTTTTAAGTGACAGATTTCATTCTAAGGTGAAAATGAAAGTGACCTTCAGAAGAGGAAGGAATAAAAAAAAATCTACCAATTTTACTAATAATGGAAAGTCCTAGAGGGGAAGGATCTCCGTGTATTTTCAATTTGCATGAATGGCTGAATCTGTGGATGAGGATTTTCTTCACTAATGAAGCAGGTGACATGCTAATCAAGGCAATGCAAATAACAGCTCAGAAAGCACAGCTGTAGCGCTGTGCTCGTAAGGCTGTTACAATGACAAATTCTAGCCTTATCCTCAATTTTACAGCAAATTGGCACAGGGCAGGACAAAGGAGCCCGGATTGCAGTCTACGTGCTCGTGGCAGGGACTCTCAATAGGACGCGTGTGATGGATACCTCCTTACATAATGGAGTCTTGATTGATACTTTGTCAGGAAAGTCATAATATAGCTCCGTATAACAATTCAACTCGCCTCCCAGAATGGGAAATGCTCCTACACACATACTTAATAGTTTTTTTAAAATTGCCTATTGTATTCCTGAACAAGAGAAACTTATTTGGAGTAGTTTCGCCCCTACGCTTTCAACATAAGCATCTGAAGACACTGCCATGTGTGTTCCTTGTGCTCCTGCAGACCTACTTACAACTTCTTGCCAGGCAGCCAGATGATAGCCCCAAGTGGGTGCTAAAATGATGCCTATGAAGTCTAGCCATGCAAAAATACCCAAAGTGTTGCATTCGAGAAGCTGCTGCTGTCGATCACAGAATTGTCCTAAGTCTAATAGGGAAGTTTTGGAGGGGGTCTCTGTGTTTTAACTGGACACCTTGTTGTTTTGCGCACCCAGGACTGGATTCCCAAAGGCTGTGGTGGAAGGTCGCTCTTAAACTGCCAGTTTCATGGCTATGAATGGTTAACAGCGTAAGCTTTATGGGTAACATGGTGTATTTGCTTTTACAGACAGAATGACCCTGTCTTGTTAATCTTTTAACTTGGTTAGTGGATGCTGTTGATATTTGGCATAAAACCGGGACAAATACTCCACCTACGTGGAGCTGCCGTGTTAACCGAGGGACGTGGTAACTTCAAGAGAGGTGCGGTACTTCGGTGTCTAATGCTTTATTTACTACCCATTCAACCTTCTTCCAGACTAAACATTTTAATTTGAATGTCGAAACCACCCACTAGTAAACTGAATTGTCCCATCCAGTAGGCTAATGTTGATTTGTTTTTAGTAACCAGCAAGGATGCTGGAAAACCCCTCTAAAGATTTCATTTTTCACAAAAAGTACCAAAAACTCCACCAGTTTTGCATCACAAAGTAGTGGTTAAAGTAAAGGTTTGAGTAAAGCAGCATGTCTGTGGTTTTTGTGGGTGGATGCATCTCGGAATGACTCTCAATCAGTCAGAGGGGAGATCTGCATGTCATCTCTGCATATGACAAGCAAAATCTACGGTGACAAATATCTTTCCAATATGAGGCGAAGTTGTGAGCTACACAACATTATTACCTTGCACAGTAGTTGTCTTGTCAGCATGTCACCTATAAACGCACTTTTTTCTTTTTTTGCTCAGAGTTTACAGCCACCAAGATGAAGCGAGGAAGGAGGACAACCCCGGTGCTCTAAGGTACGGTCCAACAGCACAGCCGAGGTGCGTTAGCCCAGCCTGCCCTTGGTGTGTTCCAATGATGACTTAGGATGGTTCAGTGCTGCAGGTACATCCGTGAGTGGGACTTTTGGGAAAAAAAAAATATGCAAAGCTCTAAGGAAAAATACTATCAGAACAATTCTTCATCAAATCAAAGCAACGGGAGAGCAAAATAAAGGAAAATTCAAATACAGATGCAGTTGGAATCACAACTAGCCAACTTGGCTGAAAACAAATGATTGCCAATTGATTTCGGCCTTACCAGCTCACAGGAAAATAGAGAGAACCTAGGGTGGTTCTGCTGAGCACGTTATGAATCTGTGGTTGCAGAGCGTGGGGCAGAGCTGCCTGGCTGTGAGGCTGCTGGGAGCCTTGGCCTCAGCTCATCTCCATGCTCGGCTTGTCTCTGCTTCCCCACGCTCTGTTCTCAGTGGGGAAAAATAGAAAACGTTTGTCCCGGTGCAACACGGGAAAAACTTCAGAAATTTCAAAAATAATCATGAGATGGGAAAACTGTCCTGTGCCTAGCTGCAGCCACAATCCCAGGATGCATTTATTGC